ATTATTTCTTCAAATAGGCCTTTAATTCCTTGCTCTCTCTCTTCTCCTTCTTGTACCTCTATGAGTGAAATGTTGGTATGCTTGATGTTGTCCCAGAGGTCCCTTAAACTATCCTCATTTTTTTAGATTCTTTTTTCTTTTTGGTATTCTGATCAGGCGTTTTCTGCAACCTTAACTTTTAAATCACTGATGCAGTCCCCTGCTTCATCTAATCCACTGTTGATTTCCTTTCATGTATTTTTTAATTTCAGTTATTGTGGACTTCATTTCTGACCAGTTCTTTTTTATGTTTTCTATCTCCATTGTTATGTTTTCTATCTCTTTGTTGAAATCATGGAGCATGTTTGTAACCAGTATTTTGAACTCCGCATCTGGTAGGTTGCTTGTCTCCATTTTGTTTAGTTGTTTTTCTGGAGCTTTGTTTTGTTCTTTCAATTGGGACATATTTCTTTCCCATTTTGGCTGCCTCCCTGAATAGCATTGATAGAATCGAATCGAATAGAATAGCTTCCATAGAATAGAATTGAATAGAATAGAATCAAATAGAGTCGAATAGGATAGAATTGAATAGAATCTAATAGAATCGATAGAATAGAATCGAATGGAATCGAATGGAATAGAATCAAATAGAATAGAATAGAATAGAATAGAGCCTAATAGGATCGAATCGAATAGCATTGATAGAATCGAATCAAATAGAATAGCTTCCATAGAATAGAATCGAATAGAATAGAATCAAATAGAGTCGAATAGGATAGAATTGAATAGAGTCGAATAGAATCGATAGAATCGAATCGAATAGAATCGAATCGAATAGTCTAATAGAATCGATAAAATCGAATAGAGTAGAATAGTCGAATAGAATTGAATAGAATAGAATCGAATATAATAGAATCGAATAGAATCGATAGAATAGACTAGAATAGAGTCAAATAGAATTGATAGAATAGAATAGAATGGAATAGAATCGAATAGAATCATATAGAATAGAATAGAGCCTAATAGAATCAATAGAATCAAATCGAATAGAATAGCTTCCATAGAATAGAATCGAATAGAGTCAAATACAATTGATAGAATAGAATTGAATGGAATAGAATCGAATAGAATCAAATAGAATAGAATAGAGTAGAATAGAATTGATAGAATAGAATAGAATAGAGTACAATAAATTGAATCGAATCGAATCGAACAGAGTCGAATAGAATCGAATCAAATAGAGTCAAATAGAATAGAATTGAATCGAATAGAATAGAATACAATCGAATAGAGTCAAATAGAATTGATAGAATAGTCAAATAGAACCGATAGAATAGAATCAAATAGAGTCGAACAGAATAGATAGAATCAAATCGAATAGAATAGAATTGAATAGAGTCGAATAGGGTCAACTAGAATCGAATAGAATACGGTCAAATAGAATAGAATCGATCGAATCAAATCGAATAGGATAGAGTCGAATAGGGTCGAATAGGGTCGAAACTGTCGAATCGGTCGAAATTGTTGAAACGGTCAAATAGGGTCGAAACTGTCGACTTGGCCGAAACGGTCGAAAAGGGTCGAAACTGTCGAATGGGTCGAAACGGTCGAAAAGGGTCGAAACTGTCGAATCGGTCGAAATTGTCGAAA